AAATATATATATATATATATATATATATATATATATATATATTTCGTTCATAGATGTATATTTATATTTGGAGATAATGTATGTACGCAAATGTTTATAGTGTAAAAATGAAAAGAGATGAGAAGACGAGAGCATGAGTATTGATAAGCATTCGAAAAAAGCGTCTCGCCGTTAGTCAGGAAAAGAAACGATTGACGAACAAATCGCCTGCAGCGATTATTGATTGAAAAGAATGTTCATCAACTGATATCATACTATTGTTGATGACAACACTTTCATCTTGTCATGCACATACAATTATCCAAATACCATTCCGTATTATCACTGCAAAAAACATTCAATACATCGAAATTCACCAATTTCTGTTCTTCACAATTTTTGCACTCAAATACATCGATGTTAATACGTTTAAAGAGGGAATATACCTTGAATAGTCGTTCAGTTTTCCACGAATATCGGTGATAAGTTTGGTATTAAAATTAAACTGAAAACCTCAACAAAAATGAACTGACTTATTTATGCTTTAAAAAATCGCCAAGAGGTTCAGATCGGTGGTGGCAGTAATAGAACGAAGCGTGTTTTTTGGATAGACGGAGGTATTCACGCACGTGAATGGGCTGCTCCACACACAGCACTTTATTTCATTCATCAATTAGTGTCAAAGTATGGTCATGATCCAACAATTACAAATTATGTGAACACGTTAACTTGGGTCATCGTACCATGTCTCAATCCTGATGGTTATGAATTCACACGTTCTTCTACAAATCCAAATGTAAGATGCGATCTTTGTTAATCTTTCCAAAAACATTACTTCCTTTTTTTTCGTTCATTTCTCATTCAGAATCAAAATATTCCGTTCCCAAGCTGGTTCTCTGATTTCCATTGAACACCATCAAACGACAACCACCTAGACCATTAATCGTTTGTTTCTGAAGGTACGACTATGGCGGAAGAATCGTTCTCAGTCAACGTGTAGTCGTGATCAATGGGGTCGAAATAGGTGTTGTCGAGGAGTGGATCTCAACAGAAATTTTGACTTTCATTTCAAAGGTTTACTTTTGTTTACTTTGAAAAAAAAAGATCTGGATGATATGATCGGAAAAAAATTTCACATTTGATCAATAATTTTTCAGAAGTTTTTCATTCATTTAAGTTATTACAACTTTATCATCTCAAACAATTGATCAGTTACCATCTTGATAATATGCTAATGTTCAAATCAAACTAACAAGAGATTTTCCTTTCACTTACAGAACTTCTTGTTATAAAGTTGTCTATTTTGAATTTAAGTGATTAGATACTCATGTGTTGATATTAATTAATCATTTGAGTGTTTATTTTTGAACAATGTAATATGATATAGGATTTTGTCTGGTTGTGAGCTGTGATTGAATTCATAACATTGAATAGATTCGATCGCATTTATTAATCGAAACGGTAATTCAAATTATGATCAAATCATATCATTATGAAGCAACTAGTCTTACATGTTGAAATATAAAGCTTGATTTCACAACTGCTTGATTCATTTGTTGATTATATAGATCAAAAAGATTATTCATTGCAAACTAGTTTCATTACACTGCGATGATCGCTTGACGGGAACAGCTAGTTGAATTTCTTTTAATTTTACATATTTCATCGCTTGCCGTAGTCTTGAATTTCTATGCTGGAAACTTAATTTTAGCCTACGGCTCAAACTCACTCCAAATCTGCACTCGGATGTTATTCTCGAGAAGGGTTTCATAGTTTTGGATTTGTCTGATTTCACTCTGTGCTGACTCAGAGATTCCTGGCCACATCTAAACAATATGAAAAATACTTTTCTTTTCGATTTTATTGCATGCCACAAATATTAAATGTTGAATGTAATGAACGAGAGAAATGGCATCTTTTCCAGAAAGTGGCTCAAGTGACGATCCTTGCTCGGAAATTTACCAAGGAAAGGAAGCTTTTAGTGAACCTGAAACACGGTTAGACTTGTCTAGCATTCGTGTAGTATCGAATCAAACTTCATGAACTCAATTCACACCTACTTTGTTCATATGTGCCTTTCTGATCGCTTCGTTTGATTGCTATCAGTCTCAGTAGAAAAGAAAACGACAATTTATGATTGAGATGCAGTTGTTCAATTTTTGCGGTCAAAATGCAACAATATTTATGTTGCAGCCATCAAGAATTGTTTATATTGCATGGATTAGGCAGTGATTAAATGTTTTTTTTTNTTTTTTTTTGTACAGTGCTGTAAGAGATGCAATTTTATCGAATCGTTATCGAGATCGTATTGATGGCTTCATAACACTGCATACCTATTCACAAATATGGATTCATCCATACGGTCATCGCAGAGACACATATCCTGGCGATGTTCAAGATCTCGTTTGTTTCGATTTTGTTCTTAGATTATCTCATAATTGATAATACGTTCGTATTGTATCCATTTACCAACAATTTACCCATCCACAGGTAATACGAAATAATCAGTCATTTACAGTATGCTGTTGGTAAAAAAGCAACAAACGCACTCGGTAAGCTATATGGAACGAAGTACGTTGTTGGCAGTGGTGCTGATACACTTTGTTAGATATATATTATATTTTTTAAAGTTCCAAATAAACGGATATCTGTCTCAATTTATGAGTTGCGGTATTGTAACATAAGCCACATACAGAGATGGGCAATAACGCGCTTTGTAGCGAAATAAGCTTTTCGCTGTCTAGTGATAAATAGCGATAGCAGACTATTGCCTATTTCTAGCCACATATATGAGCGCTATCATTATTCGCTTGATGGAGAAAGTTCAAAGAATTTGTTGAGACATCAAAACAAATAAGCAGAAAACGATTTCATTGAAGACGTGAGATTTTAGGGTCAACTCGTAGCTAAAATAAATACTTTGCAAGCTGCTACTAATACAATATTCAACTATTTCAATAATTTCAGATCCTGCATCTGGTGGATCTGAGGACTGGGCCAAGCAGACAGCAAACATCAAATACGTGTATTTACTCGAACTAAGACCTGACGAAAGAAGTTCACTTTTTTTTGAAATACTTGAAAATGTTCTGATCAATTCTCCTCNATGATTTGTGTGCTTCAGATTGGGATGGTTTCATCTTAGATGAGCATCAGTTGATTCCAACCGCATCAGAAACTTGGGCTGGTGTTCGCGTCGTTGCAGATGCCGTCATTGAACGTATCAACAAACGTACATCGCGATTAGCTGCCGGTAGAAAGCGTTTTCAGTGATGATCAAATCACTATATGGTCACACACACACTCGTTTCATTGTGCTCACAGATTTCGCTTTCATTTTTGCTGAAACGATGGTGTATTCATAAGGTGTTATGCTAGTGAAAGTGTCTTGAGAACCTAGAAGTCTTGCAATAATAGAAGAATAATAACTGAGAACTGAACTACTTTTCAGGCAATAAACAATATCGATTTGGTGATGGTACCACGGGTTCATGTTATGATTTACGACATGCATGTAAACGTTGGATACAACAAAATGAAACACTTTGTCATACAGTACCTATTTTTATGCGTGAACAATGTGCGTATTCTTGTGGTCATTGCTGATTTTTCCTTTAGCTGAATGCCAACGATTCATTTCAATGAAATTGTAATCGCTACATTTTTCATCTCCCAATTCGGTTCATCACTACTAAATCGATATTGTAGATAGTCCTCAAACTTTTTGGTAAATAATAGTGAGTTTCTCATAGCAAATTCCTTCCACTGATACGTTTTCCTCAGCAGTATTTTCTACAGCAAAATTTCACTTGCATCTCGTTCCATACGGATAATTCAAACACACTTCTTATGAGTAAATTTTGCTGTCTTCTTTTTAAATTTAACTAACGAAACTATCCACAATTTCCTTACCTTCCACATGAATTATATTTTGATCTGCTTTTATGTACATATGTATTAGTGTTGTATAGGGATGAAGAATGTCGGAAACGAGGAAGGTCGAGGAAAGTCGGGAATGAAATTCGCAGATGGGGACCCTGAAAATGCGGCCGCTCTGAAAAAACTCAGGGACGGTGACGGCGAAACGGGAACGGTCCCTGTTCCCGACTTTTTAAAGAGCGACCGCATTTTCGGGGTCCCCGACTGCATATTTCAAAGTACAAATTTTGTTCCCCGACTCTCCTCATGTCCGCCTCTTTTCATTTCTCGCACCACACTAATATGTATATGGTTACACTGAAGTTGATTCTGTAATCATTCCTTTACGGTGTTTCAATTAATTCTTTCTTGAAGGAATATTTTATGGATACTTTATAATGTTATTATGTGATGATGATGGTGATACGTTCAAAAAGTGTAAATTACAAATGGAATACTCATTTGATTTCGTGCTCATGAACAGCTATTAATTAGAACTTTTTTTCTAAGGTTTACAGATAGATAGTTGTATTCTAAATTTGCTACTGAACTCAGTTATGCGGTCGTCTTTTATTACAGATGGAAATTTGTGATCTATATTCAACGTTGCTGTTTATTCAAAATTTTCTCTCACTCCATAGAAATTATATTTTTCGTGAAGGATGTTCTCTCGATGACAAAGAAAAATGTTACTGTATCAATTAACTTCTAGGGTATCAATTTGACTAAAACGCTTCTGAATAGACAAGGAAACATGAATTCTAAATTGACGAATGAATAGGGTTATTTCCTGCGTTCAACGATCGATCAATACCACGCTTATGAATGGTGAGATTAAATTTTCGTAAAGACCAATCAGCATTAAGGATCACCTCGACATTGACGATGGCAATCTTAATTACAGAAATCATGCGATATACTCCCTTTGATTACCTTTCATCTCAGTGCTACAGCCTTCTCATGACCACTATTAGCATCGTGATTAGATCCCTGAATATCAGCGATATTTTGAAATTTTTGGCATGGATTTTATCGACGAACTTAATACATATA